ATCATAAAAGGGGGAACGCAGAAAACATGGTGCAATAACCAAAATGCCCACAAGATGGCAGTATATTAAACAGATACTAATGCCAATGAACACATGGCTTAAGGAAAAAAAACTACCGTGTTTCCCCGAAAATAAGACACTGTCTTATATTTTTTGGGGCTCAAAAAAACACACTAGGTCTTATTTTCAGGGTAGGTCTTATTTTTTTTTATGTACAACAAACCACATTTATTCATGTCCAACAATATGGTGATCAGGGCAATCAGGGGTGCCGTACCTTTCCAAGAGCAATTTGCTAACCAATCGCTTGCCAGGATGAGCGAAGCGCAATTTCACTATCGAATTCTCACAGGCGGAGTGCATTTGGTATCACTCCGCCTGTGACAGGAGCCAGCTCTATAGAGGAGGCATCGGCTTATGCGGCTCTGCTCCCTCCGGTGCTGCTTCACTTCCTCTAGCGCTGGCTTTGTTGGCACCGCTGATTCTCTCCCGCCTCTTCAAGTTCCCCCTTGTGCCACCACTGGCCCTGGGAATGGTCACAACTAGGTCTTATTTTCGGGGTAGGTCTTATATTTTAACAATTCCCAAAAATAGTACTAGGTCTTATTTTCGGGGTAGGTCTTATTTTCGGGGAAACAGGGTATATAAATTCTCACTTCACAGTAAAATGAATATTAACTATGACTATTCATTGTGTCATATTTTCACAACTGTGTAACAGCACAACTCTGACTGAGGCATGTGAGGCCCATCCAGTTCCTCTCTTTGTGGTATGAGACATACAATATGTACTGTACACATGCAGTTTGAACTCTACACATTTTCCCCCTTCAGTAGCTCATGCCTATAATGTTATTAGCCATCTCTGTCTCATCACTGACAGAGCTGCATCTAATCTGTGCAACAGCTCTCTCCTATTACTCAATAAGCAAGACATCACCGTGAAATCTGGACAATGTAGCTTTATGGCAAGAAATATACTGTGTCTGGCCATTTAATAGTGATCTAAATGACAGAGAAATGGAAAGTGGATACATCAGTAAAATGTAAATCCTTCTTTATTTACATGAATATTGAGCTAGTCTTCTCCATGAAGTGATCCCTTAGAACTGACATATGGAGTAGCTGCTAAGGCAACTGCCATATTTGCCCCTTGAAACTAAACTTCATGCAACACTTTTTTTTTTTAGTTTAGTTAGCATGTAGATGGGTTAGAATCTCTATTTTTATTCATGTTCAGTGCCAGCTGGAGAGATTTTTCTACAACTCATGTCTTATGGACACACTGGCACACTCTCTTACACATAAGCTGTCACCCAGACAGGAAGTGAGGTGAAATCTGCTGGGGCAGAGATGGCATTTATCTGACAGGGGTCCTAAGCCATCTCCACTGCACTAAAAACAAGTGTCTCCAATGGCAAGGGAACAAGGTGCTTTTCCAGAGGGGACACTGGATATGCACCTTCCCAATGCAGAGGGCATGTGGCCTGGTATGGTGCAAAGAGGGGCTGGGCTCTTGCTTGTCTCCCTCCCCCACCTTTCCTGCCCTGCCAAGCCTGTACTCGGATTAAGGGTCTGGTTGGAACTGCACGTTTTTGTCCCCCCATTTTTTTGGGGTGGAGTTCCCCCTTAAAATTCCTACCAGACCTAAAAGGCCTGGTATGACTTTTAGGGGGAACCCCACGCACTTTTTTTTTTTTTCATTTTCAGCTTGGGGTCTCTCCTAACTTTCGTACCTCAGAGGTAGCGAGCAGAATAACAGAGCCGAATGCCGTTCGGCGTCATTCAGCTATTCACTCACTACTGCTTGGCCCCTATGAGCATACGGGCCTATGAGAATAGGGGTGAACAGCAGCGAGTAAACTGCGGGAGGTTCGGCTCAGCCGATCCACATGTTGGATCGGCTGAGTCGAACGTTTTCTTCACTTTGGCTTTTGGCACTGAAGGGAGCCGAAGCCAGCCGATGAAATCAGCCATACATGGCTGAAGTGAATAGACAAATGGCATTTGGCTCACTTTGGCTCGGTTTTGCCTTTGGCAGCCGAGTGAATAACCCCCATAATATTTTAATTTTCAGGCCTAAAATGTGGATTGTAACATGTGCAAAAAAAAAAAGGCCTTGGCAGCGAGAGGGTTAAAGGAAACTTGTTAGACAAACAGTGAGGCTGGACTCACACTGGTGACTGTTCCATGTGCACTGCAGTATGCGAGTTAACGCACATACATAGGAGTGAATGGGACCATACAGTTTCCTTCTCCCTATCACACTAACTTGCAGTGTATACTGTAGATGTGAATAGGCCACATAGGAAATAATGGGGTTTCTAATTGAAATGCATTTATATGCAGCAAAATACATGAAAGAGAAGTGTGAATAGGCCCAAGGCTGTCATAAGTCATGTCGCCTTCTGATAATGCTATCTGCCTAGATGTTATGTTACCTCTCTTGATTCAAAACATTGAGGCATGGACAAGCATTAGTTTTCTCTGACTTTTCTGATCTGCATACTTGTTCTGGAACTCGAGGATTGAAATCTGTGAGATTCGCATAACAGCCAGTTAGCTAGCATTTTCAGAAGAAGCTCAGTAACAGTAGCTCCATATTTAATTCATGTCAATCTTACTTTAAAGAGCATTTAGATATGATTAAAGAAGAACTCTGGGAATCTTAAAAAAATGGCTACTACCTCAGGGTTAAGTGCTTGTTTGGTCTAGGAGGCTCAAATAAAAAAGATATACTTGCCTGATCCTCGGTCCTGTGGCATTCGACACTCCCCTCTGTCCCCCTCTTCTCTGGCTATGGAATCTAAGTGGGTCTGATGCTTTTATTTGAGCCCCCTAAACAATATGAGCACTTACCCCTTATTGTTTTTTTTCTTTACATTACTTTTTTAACTTTACTGTTGTGGGGTCTAAAAAGAACGCTGATATTTCTCTTTTAAAATAGAAAAAGAGATTGAGAAAACAGAGTCTTCAATACCTATTTCTGCAGCCTCTGTAACAAATTAGTGCTTCTGTCCATTCATAAACTGAGAAGACAGTATCAGTTACGATGTCCACAATCATCAATGAACAGGAAGGGATGTAGAGCACTTCCTGTTCTTTCATAACTGGGGACAAAGTAAGCTTACTATGTCCTCAGTTATTTACAAACACTCAGCGATCATTCATGATCACTGAGTGTTTGTGTTCTGCTCTCCATCCTGACTGCTCCGCCTGTCACAGGAGCCGAGCTCTCCTCCTGCACCTCCCCGCTCAGCCCGGTCCCAGCTGCAAACCCTGCGCCCCTGATAGTTCTGCCACTGACTCCAAGCTGTAGAGGGATTTCAAATCTCAGCAATACATTATACAGCAATGCAGAATACCACCAGGTATAGAGGACTACAAATCCCAGCGATATATTATACATCAATGCAGAATAATACCATCATGTAGAGAGGACTACAAATCCCAGCAATACATTATACAGCAAATTCTCTATTATCTATTATTTGAATGATATTACTACATTATACAGCAATGCCCAATGGCAACCGGCTATAGAGGACTACAAATCCCAGCAATGCATTATCTATCAATGCAGAATAATATGAAGCTACATACTCTGTGCTGCTCTGGGGTGCCAGCCTGATGTCTCCAGCAGAGGATCTCAGGTGGGCTGTTCAGGTTCTATGGTGGGCTGTGTAGACTCTCAGGTGGGCTATGTGGGGTCTATGGTGGGCTGTGCTGGCTCTCAGGTGGCTGTGCAGGTTCTATGGTGGGCTATGTGGACTCTCAGGTGGGCTGTGCAGGATTTAGGGTGGGCTGTGGGGGCTCTCAGGAGGTTGTGCAGGTTCTATGGAGGGCTGTGTGGACTCAGGTGGCTATGCGGGGCCTTTGGTGGGCTGTGCAGACTCTCAGGTGGGCTGCACAGGTTCTATGGTGGGCTACGCCGGGTCTATGGTGGGCTATGTGGGTTCTATGGTGGGCTGTGTGGGGATTATGATGGGCTGTGCAGGGTCTATGCTTGGCTGTGCAGACTCTCAGGTGGCTATGCAGGGTCTTTGGCGGGCTGTGCGGGCTCTCAAGTGGGCTATGTGGGGTCTATGGTGGGCTGTGCGGTGTCAATGCTGGACTGTGCAGGCTCCTCTTGGTTGGTCTCGGCAGCAACGGCGTGGAGGAGAAGGAGATTTTCAGTCGGTGCAGTAAACGAATGCTGCGATTCACAGGAAGTCCGCCGGGGCCTTGCTGGGGACCTCGGTACCGTTCCTGTGAAGCACGACACCTGTTTACAGCACCGGCTTTGGCTTAAAAATGTAAAGCGCTGGTATCGGCACTTAGTATCCGAGTACTTGTGTAAATGTCCAGTATCGGCACCGATATTGGTGCTTCCCTAACTAATAGTAATGTGACACGGTTTCATGGGCTATTTTGCTCACAGATCTAAAACTGAAAAGCATCACTAGAATCATTATAGCGACAGATGTAGGATTAGGTTTGTCGCAACATATTTAATATAGGTTAGAACGAGGCCTTCTTTCCATTTTTGAAGGTGCTGCAATTAATTTTGATAATAAATGATTTAACACTTCCTCTCTGATTAGCCAGTATAATTCAGTGCCCAAATCCCCTAGCTACATACATGCAGCAAAAGAAAACAAAGTACTCTATTAAATTAAGTTATAACAAGATGTCTTTAATAGCGTATTATAATGCTATACCTAATATTTCTTAAATACAATGCGTGCTTTCCCTCTTGCTGACAAAACAGTGACAGAATCAATATTGTTGTAGTCAATTGTAGTGCAAATATTGTATAGCATATATTAATGAGTATTCATATAATTTCAGCACACCAGCAATGTGTCTGAGTAAAGGTAAACGAAAAAAAAAAAACAACAAAAAAAACACGTTAGGTCATTTGAAAGTCACCTTGGTGGATGTCATAATGAAGGATGCCCGTGCTGGAAAGCAAACACAGATGAAAGGCACACAGCTATCCAAGTACTGATCTGTCTTACCAGCAATGTATGTCCTTGACAGATGAGAAAATGACCTGTGTTTAAGATGCTAAGGGTGATGTCTCCAGACTCTTCATTAGACTCAAATACCTAGAGAGTTGGAAAAAAAATATTTTAAAAATATTTTAAAGTAATAATTAACCCCTTCATGACTGAGGCCTTTTTTCCATTTTTTGCACCCATGTTATATTCCACATTTTAGGCCTGAAAATTACTTAAAACCCCCAAACATTATATATTTTCTGAATGCCAAGACCCTATAGAATAAAATGGTGGTAGTTGCAAATTTTTATGTAGCGCAATATTAGCGCAACTCCTTATTAAACCCCAAAATGTAGTGACAAACTTAATTAAATGCCCCAGAACACAATAAAATACCCATTTGTTTTAATGAATATAATTTCGTCGTTTTCATGCGTAGGCGCACCCGACTCGTGTTTACGCGGCAACGCGCGTGCTCGCGGGGGACTTAATTTTTTTTTTATTATTATTAGATTTATTTTATTTCATTTCAAAAACTGTTTTTTTTTTTACTTTACTTTACTTTGACTGCTATCACATGCTGGGGGTCCAAAAGACCCAGGGACCGGAAGTGATGCAATCTGCATCGCTCCCGGTCCCATAGAACGGGGAGGGGAATCGATGAACGGAAGTTCGTCGACCTCCTCCCCAGCTCCCCGCGGACACCAAGGACGCCGGTCCCGGGCCCTTAGGAGGGGCAACGGAGCCCAGGAAGCACGGTGGGGGTGTCCGGCGGGGGGGGGCGGCCCCTTCTTCGGGACACAGAAGCGATCTGGCGACAGGTAAGTCGCCAGGATCGCTTCTGTTGTAAAGCCGACAGTCGGCTCTACAAGTTTAAACAGAGTACCGGCGGCAAAAGTCACCGGGAGTCTGTTTAAACAGCCCCGATGCTGGCGACGTACACTGTACGTCGTCAGTCACGAAGGGGTTAAATTCGTCTTTTGATCTACTTATTTTTCCTGAAAATATTGAGATTAGATTTTACATTTTTGTAACTGTCTGTAAGGAACTGTAGGATATAAAAATTGGTTTTATTTGGAAAGTATAATTATATGGTATAAAGTTGTATGCAAAATCCCTACCGGATACACTCAGGCAGGTTGTAAAGGCTAGAAGATATGTTGTCCACACACCATTCTGCTTCGGAATGTCCTTTTTATTTCTATTCCTTTAGCATGACATGTGAATGTAACGTTTTGGAGTTTCATAGGACCCCTTCGTTTGACACTTTGCCAGGACGAGGAACAAAGGGGTCCCCCTGAGGCCGTGTGGGCCGCGTTGACATTGCAGGCTGCTGGCTGTCACTGGCGGCTGCGAGGAGGAACGCGCCTCTGTTCAGATCACTGACAAGCTGTTCCCTTCTCCTGCCTTCTCCAAACTCTTCACCCTTTCGTGAATAACCCTGACAGTGTTCACAGTGTTATAACGCAGGATATTAGACAATTGTAAAACTTCTTTTCTCATTTATGCTCCTCTTTATACTTTCAAAGATTTTACCTTTTTAGAGCAACAGTAATTAAGTTATACTCACAGCAGTGTGCAGATCGTATTGTGTGTTATCAGTGAGGGCAGCAAATTCAGCTAAGTTGTTATACACTGTTTTTGCCCAAAGTCTAGCAAAGGTCAAATTACAATTATAACTGCAATATGATTATTCAAGTTAACATCAAGGGTATTAGTTATAGAATTACACACTGTACTATTTACAGGTAGGAATATGAATAACGCAGGATACATTGTGGTCCTTATCTCAAACTACCTGAGGCCAACCCACTGCCATGCTCATTATCTGACCTTTAAGCAGGAGTGCAAAAAAAGGACAAATTTTATTACTATGAATATTCAGATTACCAGAAGGCCAATTCATTGTGATTTTCACATTCATGGCTGTCTAGGAGTGGAACAATATTGCATGTTACATTCACATTCATGGCAGGGAGGCATATAGACCCATATAAATATTTTATTTGTATCCAGCAGAGCTGCTTCTTTTCAGATTAATTTTCTAAATCTAAATTGAGGAATTAATAACTAGGTTCTGTTTACACCTTGTCTGAATTTGCATATATATTCTGTGTATTAGGGCTGCAACAACTAATTGATTTTATCGATGATTACAGATAATGAGGATTCTCAATATCGATTAGTTTATTCTGGTTCCCCGCTGGGAGCTGGTGTTTCAACAGTTTTGTGTGTCCTCCTGGGAGCAGCGGGGATGAGAGGGGACACAGACCACTGCAGCCAGTGCCCAGCAGTGAGGAAAGCTCCAAAACTTTCTCACCTTAAAGAGAACCTGACTTTGTGAGCCCCCTCCCCCATGTGATAGCAATAAAGTTAACTAAAAAAAACAAAAGTAAAAAAATAAAGTTGCATAAAATAAATGTAAAAATCCCCCCC